CACCATCACACACACACCATCACACACACCATCACACACACACACACACACACCATCACACACACACACACCATCACACACACACCATCACACACACACACCATCACACACACCATCACACTCACGTGGGCACCCCCGTGCATCCCCCCATGCACTCCCACTCCCCTACACCCACACCTGATGCACGCACACGTGCACACCCCCCCTGTGCACACACGCATCCCATGCTCACACACATCCATGTGTGCACACACCCACGTGCACACCCACACCCGTACATGCACACTTGTGTGCACACCCACCCAGGAATCCACGCCCATGTGCAAACACACATCTGTGCATGCAAAACCTTGCACGCGAACACCCTCACCCGTTCACAATCAAGTGCACACCCACAGCTATGCACAGATGCCTGTGTGCACACACACCCCATGCACACATCCAGGTGTGCACACCCCAGTGCACACCCAGACACTCTGCACACACACACCCATTTCTGTGCACACCCACGTGCACACACATCCCGTGCACACTCACACATCCCCATGCACACCCACGCAGCTGCCCACTTACTTGCACACTCACCTCCGTGCACACACCTGTGCAGAAGCACACTCACACTTGTGCATGCACACCTATGTGTGCTCACCTGTGTGCACACACCCATGTGTATGCACACACCAGCACTGCCACACCACTTGCACACCCACACCCCTGCACACACTCTCCACACCCACGTGCAAACACACTCCTTAATACCCCCCCCACACGTGCACACCCACATGCACACACACACCTCTGCACTCTCGCCCATGCACACACCCACACGCACACACCTACCCACGTGCACTCGCACACCCACGTGCACAAACACCTGTGCACACACCCACACCCACCTGCACATTCACACTCCTGTGCACATGCACACCTGTGCACACCCATCCACATGCACACCCACACCTGTGTGCACACCCCTTGCACACTCACCCCTCTGTGCACACTCATTTGCACACTCCCCCCCTCCCCCCCCAGCCCTGTACTGTCCCTTTAAGGCTCCCA